CTCTGCGATGACATCAATGTTTAAAACATCATCATTTCCTCTACTGACTTGGGGTCCAAAAACTTAAGGCTACCCAAGATTGAACGTACCAGTGCACTGCCTTTTATACACAGCAAGGGTTCTCAGCTAGGGAGGGTTTGGAACGTGAACCATTTTAATCGAAGGCATGGACAAATCGGGCCTCTAAGCCAACCAGGTCCACTGTACAGATGAGTGAGTGGTTCACCGCAGGGAAGCCCAGAAAAACGAAAGACAAAGCCTCCGGGCGCCGGTCTGCAGCCTCTTCACACCCGTCCTCATACCAGGGAGAGGGAGAGAGGCCTGCATACACGGCGTCTCTTTGGAAGGGTGAGGACTGAAAACAGCCACTGCTCTCTCTGCTGAAGGGCTGGAAAGTGGGGGTCGGGGGGTCTGACTTCCACTGCAAGCACCTGAGGCATGGGTGTGTGCTGGGCCCTGCATGCCACCAACCCAAACTGACCCTGACAGCCTGGCAGGTGCTGGAACCTGGGCAGGGGAGTCTGCACTTCCGCTCCCGGATAAAGAAGGCCTGGCCTCCCGCTCTTCAGCCCACTTTCTCATTGCGGCTGGAGAGGATTTTTTTTTTAAATGTAAATAAATGTAGAAAAACGCAGAGGTCATAGCTCCTGGCTCACCACTCCTATCATAATTGTATATATGGTATATACGGCTTCTGTTTCTTGACCTCCTTTTCTCCAGTGACCCTGTGTCCTCTATCCTAGCCTGGCTACTTACTCCTGTGGTCATACCTGGCCTTTGTCATTACCACGTCTGCAGCCTCATCACCTCGGTTTCAAGCACCAGTCAGGCCACCGGCTGCAGGCGCACCCGCAGAACCTCACGCCGGGAACCCTTCAAGCCCACTGATTCTCCCCACTCGTATGCTTCCCCCCACCAAGGCCTTCACTTCTCTCCTGGCCTTCAGTAAATTCCACCACCGGCCAATCATTACAATCACTCCCTCGCACACCCCTTCAATCCTCTGCCTCCTCTCCATCGTACCTTCCTGGCAAACCCTAACCCCGGCCGACCCATCTCTGCAGCCACTCTGAGCCTGGGCATGCATTTGCACAGCTGACTAGAGAAAAATACACACCAGTGTCGACTGGCCTCTCCACGTATCATGGTTTCTCAACTTTAGCACTAGTGACATCTTGGGCAGGACAATTCTTTGTTGTGAGGGGCTGGCCTGCACGCTGTGGCGTGTACAGCAGTGTCCTCGGCCTCTACCCGCTGTCCCTCCAGCGTCCTGAGTTGTGACAATCAGCAATGTCTTCAGATACTGCTAAAAGTCCTTTTGGAGGCCCAATCACCCCAGTTGAGAGCCGCCGCTTTATTTTAATGACTTCTGACATCAAGTGGGCCCTCAGCACTGCCTGGCGACCGGCTCTGTATGCATGTCCCCAGTTCAATTATCCTTCTTCCACTCTCCTGGATGATGCTTTATACCTTCCTTTGTCTCCTTCAACCTCCGCCTGCTTTGTTTCCTCACAGCCAGCTGATGACCTTGACAGGGAAATACAGGCAATCAGAATTTCTGCCAGCGTCCTCTACCAAACATCTGTGCCCACAATCTTTGCCTTCTCT